CTCGAGAAACCGCCTTCGTATTCTGTCAAAGCACTCCAGTGGTAGGCAGACCCTGTGTGAAGAGATTGTCTCTGCCCTGTCAGGTCTCCGTGAACAACTCCTCCAGAACTCCCCCAGGAGAATCCTTGGACCCATGTCGGATTACATGCATGTGTCTGTCGACGCATCTTTCGACTTGGATGGATATTCCGGTATAGGGGGTGTAGTATATTCTAGTGATGGCACAGTACTGGATTTCTTCAGTGAACAAGTTTCTAAATCTTTCCTTCTTGCAGCCATGGGGTCTGACCAACAGACCATGATCCAGGAACTTGAGATGTTGGCTTTATTGGTATCAATCGACCTTTGGTGTCTGACCCGATCCGGACGTAGAGTCGTTGCATTTACGGATAGTGAGTCTGTCCGTGGCAGCTTCCTAAAAAGTTGGTCTTTCAATGAGCCCTGCAACAAGTTACTTAATAGAATCTTTGTTCTTGGGAAAAGCACTCCTGTCAGGTGTGGTTGGAACGTGTTCCGAGTCAGTCGAACCCAGCTGACGCTTTGTCCAGAAGCCAAGTGGCTCACTTTTTGGGTTTGCCCAGAACCCGAGTTGACACGGGCAAAGTTTGGAATCACGCGGCCCAATCATAGGGTGAGGACGCGCCGAGTGGCGTGATATCGGATCCAACCCCACTTGAAAAATGGAGTTCAGCGCTGCTGCAGGGGTTGTTATGAATGCACACATGTATGTTGAGTTGACACCGCAGCTGATTCAAACACAAAGCATAAGAATTCTCTCATGTGAAGCATGATAGATTTTTTTGAGATTGGTTGAATCAGAAAAACGAATATTGATGAGTTTGCGGTAGTCAGACTTTCATTTCGATCTTCACATGTGATGCATTCTGATTCTGATGAATTCATTATCCTGTCATTTTTGGCTTGTAGTCACAAGTGTGACCAGCAGCAAGTGCTGCACAAGTGGAAATTTGCATGTTTTTCAGAATCAGTTCAACATGTCGGCATCATAAGTAATAGACATGTTTCAATCAAACATGCATCATAATCAAACACCCACTTATTTTTTCCAACATTTTTCGTCCCAAAACCTCCTCTCCCACCCAAATGCCCTTAGCTCTTCAGCATGCAGCTTTCGATTTGCAATCGTGGTTTCTTCCACTTTTTGAGACGCACTGTGAATACTCACGGGCAACCGAGATTTTGTGCCAGCCCGATGACCTGTCCGACTACACCGATCAAGTTGACATCCCTGCTGCGTCACAACATCTCCTGATCATGCGCAATCATATCGAACAAGTACGATCCATCCTTCGGTTGCGCATGACAATCCAGATGATTCAACTTGCCAGGAGATTTCGTGCCCATTTCCGGCAGCAGCAGAGACTTCCGATCATCACTTTGGATTTTCGTTGACTTCATCCACTTTTCGGACGATTTTTCTCCAATTTCGTAGGCCTACCCACGGCCAGGACGCGCCGAGTGGCGTGATATCGGATCCAACCCCACTTGAAAAATGGAGTTCAGCGCTGCTGCAGGGGTTGTTGTGAATGCACACATGTATGTTGAGTTGACACCGCAGCTGATTCAAACACAAAACATGAGTGTTTTGTCTAATTTCCATAGTTTCGCGACACTGGAGTTTGAGACTTGCATTAACTTTCATTGAGGATTGAGGCCTTCCTCCAACTTTGTTTCATCCTATCGACTTTATGTTTTGCTGCAATTTCCATAGCTTGCCTTGAGGCCGTCCTTTGTGTCAGTTGCGGCCTAAAGTTTTACTGAGACAGCACAGTTACCAACTTCTTCAAAATCAGCTTTGCTGGGACTTCAAGAATAGTATTATGTAGTTTGGAATCTCCGTGAGCTTCGCTTTGTCCTTGTGCCAATACCTTCGCCGAGCCTCGAAGCGCCTCGATTGCAGGCTTTGGAAACACGGGACCTCTTTCATCAACATAATAGAAAGGAAAAAATTGTCATGATCAAGACAAGCAGGTACAAGGGGTTTTGGATTAGTTTTTGGCACCTGAAACTGATATGATTGTTGATGGAGTTGGGTCTTCCCTTGTGCCATCTTAGACTGCGCTCCAGTTCCCCAAGCTCTCTGCCAAAACCACGTAGTGCGAAGATCCTTATCTCCTCATTTTGCGTCTCTTCTTTCTGTGCTTTTCTTGCTCACTCCAAAATTCATAAGTGGATGACTTGCCGGCTCTACCGCAAAGTTCTCGAAACTCGATCTTTTCACCTTGGCGAGTGGTTGCAATGACCTGCAACTTCATGATGTGGCAATTCTTTCTTCCTGTGCATCCACCATCTCAAGCGAAGCAAACTCCTCAGGAAGTACTGACCAATCAGCTTCTAAGTCAAGTCTCATGACGACTGATCGGCTTTTGACAGTGCTGACTCGATGAACACCTTTACAGCTTTCAGTATTGTTTTGCAGGTCCATGGAAACCGAGCTCATTCCATCTGGCAGGCGCGTCCTGGATCAGTTTCATCTGATCCTACTTCACTTGTGCTATCCAAAAACCAAACCACACGCGCTCTATCGACGTATAAATTTGGTTCATCTTTCGGCTTTGTAAGGTCGAAAACTTCTGAGATTGGGTTTCTCTGTAGGCTGATTTTCCTTGAAAAGTGTGATCAGCGTGACTTGCTTTGGTTGTCTGCATATGCTGTGGCGCTTGTGAGACTGCTTGATGTGTTGCTCGGTATTGACCGACCGCTTGTGGGTGAGAATTGCATTCTGCTATGATCTTCAAGCTTCTGGACCGTCTTTGTCCAGCAGCCTTTGGTCATGTGGCTTGCCTTGCCACAGTTGTAGCATGTGACATCCTTGCCCTTTGAGTCTTTCTTTCCATTACCTGTCGATTTGCCTTTTTCTTTCTGCCAGTCGTTTCTCTTGAAATCTTTCTTTCCTTTGCCTTTTCCATCCTTGCCTTTCTTTCCACCTTTCATCTAAACTGTGTCAACTTTCATTGGGATTGCCTTATCAGCTGCTGGTGCTCGGAAAACATCTGTAGAAAAAATTCTGCAGATCATTGGGTTGTAACCTGTTCATAAAGTCGGCTATTTCCGATCAAGCGAGGAGTTCCTTGGAAACCATTCGTTTATGTGTTGATAGGAACACACTGAAGAGTGTCCGGTAGACTTTCTGAATATGTCCATCCACGTTTTTGTGGACGCTTCCTTTGAAGCAAGGCTGTTGCGGGATAGGGGGTGTCGTTTACTCTTCGACTGGAGACTTCAGTGAACAAGTTGGGGAAGATACCATTCTCTTCATCCTCCAAAATAACCAGGAGAACGCTATCAAAGAGTTGGAAATGTTTGGTCTGCTCCTAGGCATGATCGCTTTCGAACCTCACCTGAAAAACCGAAGGGTTGCAGTTTGCACCGACAATGAGCATTCCGAGATTCTTTCTTGAAAAAAACCGGGCACAGAACCAGAGTTGTAGTCGGGTGCTGTTGACCATTTTTTGAGGATGAAGGCAGATGTGGCTCTAACAGCAACATGTTCCCAGCCAGACAAACCGGCAAATCTTTTGTCCAGATCGAAGGTTGAACAGTTCCAAGGAAAACAAAAGTTGAGGTGCAATTTGCACGCACTGTGGTGCCAGTTGGTCCAATCCAGGGGTGAAGGCGCGACCGAACAGAGATTATTGAACGCTTTGCTCCCGTGAGTCAAAAGTGTGATGCAAGCCACGTGAATTCGAATTTGTCACACGTGACATGTATCATTTCTCATATCCAGTTGCACAAGGCCCAAAGAACAGATAAGATGGAACCCATTCAGCGTAATGAAATTTTATTTGGGAAGGGGCCTGAAGAGTTTCATGTGAAACGTTGCAACTGTTTCTTGGATTATGGCATGATGTCATTTCATGTCATTTCATGTTGGCACACATGTTGGTATTGACATGCACAGTTTTCCTCACTGTTTGCATTCAACTTGTCCACAATCACCACATGGGCCCATGATTTCACAATTTTTATCGCCCAATTGGCCCCTACCCATTGGGATATCACAGAGCAAATGTTCCTGAATAATGTTCGCCATGGCAACCGAAGAACCTTCCTTTAACGTCATGGAACCACTGCTCAATCTCGCCTTTGGTTCGTCAAAATTTGGCGAATTTGAATTTGTGACACATGACATGTATCATCCTTCGTATCCAGTTGCAGGAAGGCCGAAAGGACAAATAAGGGTCACCAAAATTACCGGAGATGCCGGAGACCGCTTTGGACTAACATCACGTTTTAACTTTAACATTTTAAATTGTACATCTTTTGCCGCACGAGCGCGTGAACACACTGTTTGGGGACAAATGACATATACACAAAAAACACGCACTGAGAAACCGTAAACATTTTTTAATTTTTGATTTTGAATTGCGTGGCAACGGAAAATGTGCAATTGATTGTGTCAATCAGAGTTGTTGGTGTTCGGTGAATTTTTGTTTGAGGCACGTTGAATGTTTGAATTTTTGTGGATTGCATTCTTTTATGTTGTTTTGTTATTTGTGAATTGGTGGCGCCACTGTTTCCCAAAAAAAAATACCATAAGCGACCCCCATTTTCAAAAATTAAGACCTTTTGGGTCATGTTTGGTCGTGTCATGCGACGTTGGTTCAAAACGAATGTTCAACCATGAAAACACCTGAACATTTTTGGTCACAACCTTTTGAGGGGTTGAAACATGGCAAACATGACGTTGTACTTGGTATAGATAAAAAATCAAATTTATCGGATTGACTTTTTCCAAGTGACCCGCCCTTTTTGGAAAACCCACTGCAGTTTTTGGGGTAAAACAAACCGTTCGAAAGCTCCGAAATGACCTTGCCAAATGGAAATTCCAAGAGTCATGGCAATTGCATTTGTCCCTTCAGTGTCAAAATTTTGCTTCAGATGTTGCCCAAAAGTTTCATTCCAAACTGATATATTTCCATGCTGTTTTGGACAGCCGCATCGCCTTCGCGGCTTCTCTTTTTGCTCAAGACGGGATTGATGCAGTTGATGAAACTGGATGCCGACGCCTTAGTGGGAAATGTGGGTCTGAAATTGGGAAACTCCCAGGTATATCCGGTATATCCGCCAATTCTGGCCATCTAATGTCTGTAATGTCGAACATATTGATCCAGTGTGTGCCACATCATTTGGTGGCTGAGGATGGCACCCCCCACGCCTTCTACACCTCCCAATGGTTCGAAGGTGCGAATGGGAAACTGATCACAGTAACAACAATTTGTGTCAAACATGCTACATTTTTTTGTGATTTTTTACATTTTTTCGTGATGCTTGCACATTTTGTGCGATTTTTGGTATAGTACAAGTGGCATACACAATTAGAACCGAAATAACAATTGTTTTGAAAGGTTGTGACCCTGCCAATGCACACATTTATCATTAAACCCTGGGTTCATATGGAATGTGATTCAGCAAACACAACCTGTATATGTGCTGTATCATATTCTTGTCTCTGATGGAACTTATATAATCAAACCGATCTCATCAAATCCCATATAAACCAACTACCAAATATGCGCATTTGTTCCTGTGCCTTTATGTGCTTGCCGGTTTGAGGAATGCTGTCAGTTACAAGAACATGCAGGATTTGTGAATAAAACAAAATCAGTTTCCACAATCCTTTGTAAAAAATCTTGAAATGTGATCTGATCGAATATCATGTAGGTTTCTGTCTGCATTTCTGCTGATTTTTTGTTTCAAATGTTTCAACCGCAGGCGATGAAAAGCGGCTCGCAGACGCAACTGCAGATTCCAATGCCAGGCAATAGAGTGTGGGGCCAAGATGGGCCAAACTGAAAGGTTCAAAAGCAGACGATGTGCGCGCTTTAATGGGTCCGACGAATGGGTCCGACGAATGGTCTTTAGGTTTGGATGAAGATTTTGAAACCACTTCTATTGATGGTTTCCTGGAGTAAACTCAGCGTGGCTCGTGAGGGCAGCAGTGAGCAATTTCCAGCTCTGCTTTGTTTCAAGGTCCTTTCGGCTCAACTGTGCCCCTTTCACCTCACCCTTCGCTCTTGGAGTTTCTAGACCCTTCGTTTTATGGCTGAGCAGATTGTGATCCACAAGGATGACATCGTCATGGAGGGCTTCATGGTGAAGCAGTCCAAGCACCTCAAGGAGTGGCGACAGCGTTGGTTCGTGCTGACTTCGCAGTATCTCTGCAGCTTCAAGGCTGAGGGTGACTACACCAATCCCACGGAGTATGTGCGCCTGGCGGAGTGCTCAACCGTCAAAAGTGCCGAAGACAGCACGGGGAAGGAGAACTCCTTCTGTGTGCAGACGGCACAGCGTTCTTTCTGTTTGATTGCACGAAACGCGGCAGAGAAGGAACAGTGGATCAGCCGGATTGGGAGGCAGATGGTTCGAAGGGCTGTGCTCATTGAGGATTATGAGTGAACTGCCCAGAAAAAGATCCAGGTTTTCGAAAGGAAAGGGTCATCCTATGGTTTCCAGGTCTCAAGTTCAGTACTTGTGACACTTCTGCGGTTTGACCCAGTTTCTGACCCGTCTTCGGGTCGGCCACCGCTGAAATTCCTTTTTTGTTTGGAAGTTGCATTGCCAAGGGGCAGCTGAACTTTCCTATTTTGCAGATACATCGTTCCAACGATCATCACTTGGATGGCGGAAAAATGGACCTGCCCGAGGCTGAACTCATGGTTTGGGGCTGCTGCTTTTCATGTCGGAATGGGCATGAGTCAAAATGATTGACCTCACATTATATAATGGTCTCATACTAAAACGAACCATTTTTGTGGGTCCGTAGGTACCTATTTAATCTATTTTGACCCGTACCCTGACGGCCAAGGATTCACGCTCCACCGACCCCTCCACGGAAGGCCGTTCTGTGGAACCAGTTGGCTTAAATTATCTAGCTAGATGGGTGGCCTACTGTAGCGGCTTCATGAAGTCTGAGATTTGAGTAGACCCTAGCGAACAGGATCTCCTTTCCTGATTTTTTCAGTAAACTAGAGTTTTGAGGTATTTTTTTGGAGGCCCATAGTGATGGAAGAACCTGAGAATAATTGAACAATTGAACATATCAGATTTCACGATGGTTTATCCACAGGGTCTCATCACAGCTCCGGTTGACCTGAATGCTCTTCACTTCTGAGATGGCTATGTTAGTATATAGTATTTAAGATCCAAGAGTCAGTAGTATTATATCATTTTATGTGTTTCACTACCTAAATTTACAGTAGTCAGTAGTATTTAAGTTGTGTAAGTAATTGGGTCACAACTTCAATGACAAGAAACTACACACCCAAGATATCTATAGAACTATAGATATCTTGATACGTCTCAGTTCGATGATTTAACACCACGCCAACGGCCGCATTTAGATCTGTCACTTGGATATCTTATTCCAAAGGCACAGCACGGCCATGGGAGGCCCAAAGATTACGGTCACCAATTCCGAAGAAGTTGCCAAAGGACAACCAAGGGGAGCCGTTTTCATGGGGACATGGTAAAATCGCC